CTTTCCTACCTGCCTGTCAACATATGTATTTGCATACCTCTGCGCACCCTGTTCGCGTAGACAGGATACGTCATCAGCGCGTTCACACACGCTATGCAGACAGAGCGAGAATGGCAGACAAACATCAACAACCCGATCTTCCTTCCTGGTATTGTAATACTTTTACTAACTAACTGTACTATAAAGTTTTCTCACCGGTGAATGACACATGATGTAGCCCAACGCGGTTCCCAATTCCAGTCCTCGCGCCTCCCCGCTCTGCATATTTTGCAAGTCTCGCTTAGTTAACACACCCGATTCAGGGTGGGGGGGGCGTGGCTTTGAACAGTGATTGCAGGGAGGGTGGGACATTCGCTTTCAGTGCTATCAGGCTAAAGTTAGCATTTTCCGAGATCTCCTACGGCACCTTTAAATAACCTGTGCATATAGTAGCATTTCATCTTTTATAAAATGAGTTTGTGGCCAAATGTATTTTACAACAGGAAAAACTGAGCGCCCATATAACTAAAACAAACTTTGTAACGTAATGTGATGCCGCCATTTTAATGACGGACGAAATGCACATTTGCACACATTTGCTGGTCAAAAACCTTGTAACTGCATTTGAGTTTGACACAAAGCGACTGAGTGATCCTCGTCACCTAGGTGAAATATATTTTTAAAAAATGTCTTCTTTGATTTATGATTGCTGATACACTTTATTAACATTTAATCATATTATATGGTTGCATGGTTAATTCATGTTTACGCTGTTAATATGCACGTATTCGCTAGCTAGCTAATTTTTCAATCTAGTATTATATACTCTTCGCTCGTCTTCAAATGTTTAAACGTAGTAAAACATGGTTTTACTACAGTAATGTTGTAGTAACTAAAAAAAACTAATCAGATCAATGTGAAATATTTATATTTTATCATGCAGAATGTAATTATATATATACAGTATATATATATATATATATATATATATATAAGTCATCTAAAATCTGATATCTTCTGCATTCTTCATGTTTATAAATGCTGGGAAAAAGAAACATTTGTCCAATGCTGCTGTCAAAAAGTTTTTCGTTATTACTTTTTTCTTTTTATACACACAATATCGTTTTGTCTTCTAAATAAAATCAAGCACAAATGTGGGACAGTCGGACTCCAACATGCCACATTAAGATACCATTATTCACAGAAGGGTGCCCTTTTTGTCAGTTTCAGCACATGCCCCTCAAAAGGTCTGTGCACAGCCCTGGTGGAAGTAGGCGGGTGCTGAGCCTGAGGCTGTTCTATATGCAAGCGTCAGTGTAATCGGTGTATTTCTAACTGACTCGATCCTGAGTGGTCTGTTAGGTATATACAGGTGCATCTCAATAAATTAGAATGTCGTGGAAAAAAGATGCACAACCAACCGAGAGAACCGCAGCCGATCCGATCCATGTTTAATCACATTTGGGGATTCCTCACCCGCATTCATTAATGCTTCAGATCTGTTCTCAAGATGTATAGGGGGTGGTAGAATACCAGTATTCACAACTTGGTATAAACTGGTATTAACTTGGTATAAACCATTGAGATTTACTAGATTCATGGGACTCACCGGCTGTATGCTAAGGGGGTCCATGATGACAGTCTGCTGAGTGTTCTGCCTGTTTTGGAAGTCCAGCAATTAACTTTTTCAAGATCCGCAATCCTTTGTAGAAGTTTGCAGCAGTTCATGCAGGAAGTAAATTCAACAGGAGGCATTTTCTTTCTCTTCTGTTTGAATGTAGACAGCTGTGTTTTCCTGTCTCCGGAATGTAAGCTGCTGGCAGTGGGAGGCAAACGTTACCTTTTTTGTAGTATTATTCCAGTCCCCAAAGAGTTTTTAGTTTTAGTGTTTGTGCCAAAAATGTGTTGTTTGAGCACTGTGCTGATCTGCTGAAGTGAAAATCTTAGAAAAATCCAAGAAAAATCCAGAAATAGGGAGCAAAGCGCAAAGCAGTAAGCAAGAACATCCGAACGGAAGCAAAGCCGGAAGCATTCATGCAGCTGAAGTGGCATTGGAGAAGAGAAGGGGTCCAAGAACTGATCCCTGAGGAACCCCAGTGACCAGTTGATGTGCTTTGGATACCTCCCCACCCCAGGCCACCCTGAAAGACCTACCAGTGAG